CTCACTGCGGCTGCTGGCCGCTCACGCTGGCTGCTGGCTACACACGGTAGCCCATGGCAACCCACTGCCACAGGGGCTGCAGCCTACGCCATTGCCCATGACTCATGGCAGCCCAGCTCCAGGTTGAGCTGTTGTTCAGCACTTTAGCTGTGGAGGGCAGTGTCACTGGCCCTCATATGTGGGATCCAAACCGGGGCCCTCTGGCATCCCAAGCCAGTTGTTAACCATCGCGCCACTCGGCCGGCCCAGAAGGGTTTTGTTTTAAACATTGGAACTGGAACATCGTTTTCTGATATCATGTTGACATTCCTCAGCTTGCCAACCAGTCTGTTACCGGAGAGCGGGCCCTTCTCGGCGCGATGTCCAGGTTCCCGGCATCTTGAGCAAAGAATTGAATGAGATACCAAAATAAAGTAGTGAAAAAGCAGTTCATTAGAAGAGATTGTACACTCCAAAGAATTAGGAGCAGACCAAGCAAAAAGAAACTCAAAAGGCAGCCAAGGGCTCAAGGGGCTCAAAGCTCAAGGTGGCATTATTAGGAGAAAAAGTACACTTCAAAGAAATAGAAGCAGGCCCGAGCAGTAGAGAATGGCTCAAGGGCCCATTACTAGAAGACAAATTACACTCCAAAGAGTCTGGTGCAGGCCGAGCAGAAGAAGCTCAAAAGGCGCTGACTGGCCAGAACTTGGAGGTTTTTATCCTTTTTTCTCTAGAATGGGCTGTTCCTCTCTGGGTATGGGACCACTTGATTGACACATGTGATTGACAAGAGGCTATTACCTCATCTTTTTAGACTGCACAGGTGCGAGTGACTGGCCTAATCCAGTTGGGTATTTTGTACCCATTTGTAGATAAGTACAATGAAAAGGGGAAGTTTTGAGGGGAGGTTTTTTGGACAGCCGCATTCTTTGGGCTGTGTTATATGTGCAGGAATGCAGATACCCAATGGCTGCCTCTAACTGCCTGCTTTGTTCTCCCCTTGAGAGACGTGATCCCCATAAAATCTCTATGGGAAGCTGAGGGACAGGAGGTCTCTTCTGTATCTGCTTCCTGCTGGGCAGGGGCGTAGAGCTGTCCCTGCCTATTGGGGGGTTCATGGAACTCTCACCCTAGCTGATCTCAGATGAGAGGAAGGGGTCTCGAGAGCCGCCTGGATGACTGTGTTGGCTTCTTTGGTTGCGACTGGGAATCTTGTTGGGGTATCATTTGTATCCCCAAGGCCCCTGAATGAGGAAAAATAGATTTTAATTAATAAATATGTTAGCTCTTATGGAGCCTGTGGCCATTCAGCCCGTCACTCAGGTGGCATCAATTGTCTGGGCCCAGAATGGGTTTGGAAAGAATCATTAGGCTTACTGGCCTGGGGAAATGTTCAAACCTATTTAGTCCCTGGGAGGGAATTATCCAAGAGTTAGGTCTGGAATAGCTTGGGGGATGTTGGGAAGTCACAGGCTTGTAAGTAGTTATCTGAAGCAGGGGTAGAAAACTTCTATTGTTTATGATTAAGAAACTGATTTACAAAACAATCAAGAAGTAGGGGGATAGGAGATTTCTATGATTCAGGCTAGGAGGAATCTTTAGTCTAGGATTCAGAAACTGATTAGAAGAGTAACCAAAGCCAGGGGCTAAGGAACTAAGAAACTAGAGAGAAGGAGACTTAAAATTTCTATAGAAAAAAAACTTGAAAATTTTTCACGGGGGCGGGGGCGGGGGCGGGGGTTCTACTCGCTTGGCCTGTAACATGTTGAAGGGAGTTTTAGACAGACTGGAATTTAGAACCTGTCCAAGTCATTTCCCAGGTCTTTGGTTTTTTTCATCAATAAAAATTCAAGGCTTTGCTGTTTATCAACTCTATCATTTCATATTATAACCTACTCATCATACTGAACATTTATGTGGGGAAAAAATACACACTAATTCAGGAATCCAATAACTTCTTTTCCCATCAAAGCAGGAGTAGGAAGTTGTTTCTGTCCTTCCCACAAAGCAGCTCTCATTCAAATTCTTCTCTCTCTCTCTCTCCATATATTTACACACACACACACACACACACACACACACACACACACACACACCCAGGAAATGCCAAAAAAAATGTATATAAGTGGACACTTTGGTCAAAGTTGCTCAAGCAGTAGTTCGCCGTAATCAGAAGTGTCTGGACACTGATGGTAACCACTTTGAGCACCTCTTGAAATTGCAGAAGTCAAACGTGACTTGTGTTCATCTTTTGCTATTGGTATATATTGAGTATTACAATTTTAATCCAGTTTTCTTTTCTTAAAATGTGTATACATTTTTTGGCACCCTCTATATACGTATATGCACTCAAGGTCTGACAATTATGTTTGCGAAGTTGTTGCAAAAATGTTGCTAAGCTTTTTTGATATCAGGAGGATTACTCATTATGAATTTGTACCAACTGAACAGTTAACCAAAGTTTACTATTTGGAAGTGCTGAAAAGGCTGCGTGAAAAAGTTAGACGATTGAACTTTTTGCCAACAATTCATGGCTCTTGCATCATGACAATGCAACAGCTCACACAGCACTGTCTGTGAGGGAGTTTTGAGGCAATAAACAAATAATTGTATCGGAACACCCTCCCTGCTCACCGAATCTGGCTCCCAGTGACTTCTTTCTTTACCTAAGATAAAGGAAATATTGAAAGGAAGACATTTCGATGACATTCAGGATATCAAGGGTAATATGACGACAGCTCTGATGGCCATTCCAGAAAAACAGTTCCAAAATTGCTTTGAAGGTGTACTAGGCACTGTCATCAGTGCATAGCTTCCCAAAGGGAGTACTTTGAAGGTGACCATAGTGATATTCAGTTATGAGGTATGTAGCACTTTTTGAGTTTGCAAACTTAATTGTCCCACCTGGTGTGTG